CTTCACTAACTGATTTGGATATAATTTTATTCGTATGCAGTGCTTGTCATTTTAAGTGGTAGGTTTCTTTTATCATCTCAGTTTCAACTTTAGGGGGAAAAATCATCATAAGCTGTTGGACATTACTCAGCATAAAAGTGATTGACTTTGGCTCAAAGCAGTTATCTCCAGCTCCCAACTGCAGGTTTTTATGTCCCCTTATCTGGTGCATAGTCGACCCAGATTTTCCACAGGCATCTTATATTCATCTTCTTTAAGTTCCCATTTTGGTTGGGCCACTATTTAGATGAATGGGAACCATTTTTCCTCCCCATTCAACTGTCAGTGAGAGAACTGAAAGGATTTCTTCCTAAATAATTTTTGGATCTGTCTTTCTCCATTCCTGATGGTGAAATGCTAGGTGAAACCTCTATTATTTCCTATTTGAGTTAACATAATATAATGGTTTCAATGGCTTTGGTGCCTTGTTATTTGCAAAGCCACCCATTATATCTTTACTTTGCCATTCCCATTCCCTTGTGAAAATGTTAACTCTGGGTAGGTAGTTAATAACCCCTGATAACAGTGGCAATTATGCATTCACTGATGCCATTCCTTCTGGCTTTCAATGAATGGTATCAAGGGGTTTTGTCATTGACTTCTCCAAACAATACTACAAGGTAGTTCTTCCTGTATTACAGAGGAAGAAGCTGAAGTACAAAGAAGGTAAGTAATTCATAAGATTTATAGTTAGTACATAATGGAACTAGGTTTGGAATCCAAGTCAGTCTGCTTCCAAACACTTAATTCGAAGCTGTCCTGCTTTCTTTCAGAAGATAAATCCACGAGTCTTGGCATGGTATACAGAATTCTCTATGATCTATCCCTGTTAATCTCTTTAATTCATCTACCACTGTACTCCCCCCAACCCCCACTATGTACACCTTTTACTCTCAGGCCATATTGGACTACTGGTTTCAAACCTTATTCATGCTGTTTCTGAACACCCTTAGAGCTTCTTCCTGTCTTTCCTTCTACTCTTTCAAGTCTTAGGGTAAAATCACTTTTTGCATTGTTTCCCCTGATTGGGTTGGGTGCCCTTTCCTGTTCTTTTCTTTGTATAGTTCTCTCTTTGCTTCTAACATATTGTGTATGCTTCTAACATATTGTGTAGGGATTATCTAATGATCTCTCTTCCCTTCCAGCTAGTTGCTTTTAAAGATGGTAGTCAACTTTTTGTATTCCCAGCACCTAGCACCTTGGACAACATCTGGCACAAAGGCGATGTTAATAAAATTAACATTTGTTGAACCAAAACTTAGCTATTATGATCGAATGACCTGTCTGTCATTTTCTGTCTGGTATTAGTCCATGCTGAGAACTCTACCCTTATATATTAGTGATAAGTCTCAGCATTAATAAACAGTTTTGCCATGCTGTGAATCCGCACTGTTTTCTAAGCACCAGAGAAAATGTGGCAAAATAAGCAATGTGTATGAAATAAAACCTATAAAGAAATTTTAAGTGTTGAAAACATACGTTAGTTTCATAACTGATATTTCTTCTACTATTTTTGGCCCTCACATATGCTGTTTCCTTTTCCCGAAACACTTTTCTCTCCCTATATACCCTTTATCTCCCATGAGGGCTTGTTACAAAATAAGTATGCAGCAATCATTAAATAAATGAAAGGATTACTATAAACTAAACTTACAGTTATAAAAATAAGCATGTTTTCCCTTCAATCTGGGGTGCTGATAGACAAACTTTCATCACTTGTTATTTTGGTTTCCTGAAGAAACAAAGCCCATTTTCTTAGAGTGTTTGATAGTAAAATAAGTAACCATAGTTATTTTAACTTTTTCTTTTATCTCATAGTCCTTATCATTCTTTTGCATGGTGAAATTGAAGGGGGAAATGTTTCATTTCAATTAGGAACAATCACATACTATTCACCCTGATATAAAATATTAAAAGGAGATTAATTATACATACAGAGTGACTGGAAGTGATTCACCATTGCTTTGGTTTTAACATAAATTAGTACATTTTTTTCTTGCAGTCCATTTTGCTGTGACTATTGGTGCTAATTAACAGCTGTTGTGTAATAAGTTCACTCACAACTGTATGCATTACCCATTTGTAAGTATTAATTGGGGTCTTGCTGCTGTTGAGTTATTCCCTAACAGAGTAAGCCTCTGTACAGAACAAAAACTATGTTGTCCTGTTTCTTGGAAATTGCAGGGTTTATTAACTGAGTAGATGTCAAATTGAATTTTAAACCAAATTCAGATGAAGGCTTATGAGCACTAACTTTGATTAGTATTTTAATGTCTTTTATATTTAATTTGCTTCAATCAAAATATACTGTTCTTAATGCATTCAGAGTTCGGTTTGGAGTTTCTTTATTCTGCTCTACAGTCTTTGGGGCATAGTTCTCATCTTCTCACTTTGCCGTGCCTTTCAGTTTCCCTAGGCTTGTCTGTTGGTGTTCATAGCCTCTGGACATGTGTTTACTTTCTTTTCCAAAAATTGTTATCACAGTGGGTGCATCTTAACAGAAGTTTGAGTGCTTTCTTTTCAGTTTTCCAGAGCCAGAAAACGCACTGGTGATAGTTTTATCCATTATAATCACTCTCTGCTATTTTGATTTCTTCCATGAAACACTAGATTCCGTGGTCCCTCATTATGCTGGAGTACCTGGGTTGAGCAAATATCTGACAACTGCATTGCTGAAGTCAGGCTTTAGATCACTTTCAAACTCCAGGATGACCACTACCACTTAGAGAAAGCAGCATGGTGGTATGGAAAAGACGGAGGAGGGGTCAAGAAACTTGGTTCTACCGCTTACCATTTTTATGACCTTAAGCAAACCGCTTAAGTGGGGGAGGAGGGAGCATCTTGGTTCCCTTGTTTGTTAAATTTGGGGTTGCAACTGGGTGCTCTCCCACACCCTTTCCAGTATAGGATGCCACTGTACATTGGAACTGGGCCATTCGTAGTCACCTAGCTTTAGTTAGAGGTCCAGATGGCAATTCTTGGCCCTATACTAGTTCATATCTACTCACAGGAGCTAAAAGTGGACTAAAGCCAAGACACTAGTGTGAACCTCAGTCATCTTGTGGCTCCGTAAAGCCTGTGGTCTCAGCAACTATGATGACTTCCAACTTGTTTCAGACATGAGAGGGTCATCACAACGCCCACAGGCCCCAAAGCCAGAAAGTAACATTCTTGAGATTTCAACCCAATTCTGAATTCATGTTCTTTTTGCTGTATCCATTGCTTCCTCCACAGAGTAAAGATAACAACACTGGTGATTTTATTATCTTTGATGGAGTAGAGATAATGGCTTATAATGGCTTATAAAAAGTAAAAATTACAGGGCCGGCTGAGTGGCTCAGTTGGTTAAGAGCTCGCTCAAGAGTTTGAGCTCTGAGCAATGGCGGTTCGAGTCCTGGCCCGAGCTGAGCTGCCGCTGAGCTGCCAACAGGTGGCAGGATGGCTCAGCTTATTAAAAAAAAATAAAAATAAAAATTACAGTAGACACAAAATAAAAGCCCTCTGACAACTATAATATCACAGGAACAATTTACTTACTGATTTTTCCAGATATGCTTGAGCAGCCATAAAAGTGTATAAAACAGGTACAATATAAAGAATAATCAATAATTTAAATAGATTAAATAATTAAATAGATTAAAACTCATGTGGCCACCACCCAGTGTAACAAATAGAGCACCCCAGAAACTGTGCCGCTCCCTCTCCCCTAGAGGTATTCTAGCTTTTGAGATAACAATTTCCTTGTTTTTCTTTGCGGTTTTATCACCTATATACCTACTCCTAAACAATATAGTTTTGCCTGTTTGGGAGCTTTTTGTAAATGAATCATATTATATGTACTCTTTTGTGTTTTTGCTTCTTTTGCTCAGTATTATGTTTGTGAGATCCATCCATGCTGTGGTGTATAGCCAGACTTCATTCATTTCATTGCTTTATTTTACTCTGTTGTATGAATAGACCACAATTTATCCATCATATTGGTAGACATTTGGGTTGTTTCCAGTTTGGGGTTGTTACAAACATTGCTATCCTGAACATTTTTATGCATGTCTTCTGGGGCACATACGTAGGAGTTTCTCTGGGTATATACCTAGGAGTGGAGTTGCTGGTCAGAGGGTATGCATATTTTTAACCAACTGTGATTATTGGTTTAATTTTCACTAGAGCTTTTAACCCATACATTCTTAATAAAAATTTAAAATCTTTTGTTCTCATCTAAAAAGGTTTGTCTTTCTTATAGAAAAATGCAAGAATGGCAGCAGAAAAGCATTATTCTAACACCCTAAAAGTACTAGGAATATCTGATGAGTTTGTTTCAAAGAAAGGACAAAGTGGAAAAATATTTGAGTCCTTCAGCAATCAAGAGATGAAAAGTATCATTGAAGATAAAGAAAGGTAACATATATAAGATGTCTGAATGATTTACCTCTGAAAAAATGCTTACCTGTAAGAAACCATAAAATTCTGTTATATAATATTTTAAAAAGGTCTTTTGCCTAGTGGAATACATGTAAGCTGTTGTAAAACACTGATATTTTGACATGTTTGACACATTCAAAATATTAAAACAGTGGTGAAGTATCTTGTTTTGAAGACAGAATAATTTAAATTTCTGACTGGCATAAATAATGAAAATAATAACATGCTTTCAAATGAAATTTAAAGAATCAACCAAGTTTTGAAATAATATTTAACTTTCCCAATTGGCACTTCATAGAATTTTCTTTATAAATTGGAGTTCATATACTTGAGGAAGACTGACTACATGATGACATACATTGCAAAGGGTTTGTTTACTTTTAAGCCAAATCATTTTTCCTTTGAAAAACTGATAAATTTTTTCCTTTAGATTTAATGAAGAAGAAAAAATAGAAGAAAGAGAGAATGGACAAGAAAATTGTTTTACTGACGATACCAACAGCCAAGATTCTTGCAAGGAAAACTATGAAGCTGATGAAGAGAGTGGAGAAGAGAAATCTGATGAATAAAACAGAATCACTAGAGCCTCCTCTCTGTGCCTGTGCTGTTGTTTTGCAGCATCTGGTGTTAGCAGCTGTGCTTGTTGTATTAAGAACATGGATGGGAACCCCTCTGATGTGTGCAGGGCTCTTGAGAAAAGTCATCTGTAGCTGAAAAGGCCAAATCCAGCTGATTGGTCAGTTGGTCAGTTAGAGTAAGGCTTTGCCTATCAGGTTTTTAAATTGCTACATATCGTCTGTTTGCAACTTGGATCTTATTTGTATTTTTAAAAAGTATTTGAGAATCACAGCTATCACAAAGTGATTAATCATAAAAATATACATTACTTCATTATTTTTAGTGGAAAAAAATGCTTAGCATTGAGAGCAGAGAGAAATATTGGCCTTTGGTGATTTGTTTGAAAAACATTTTCTGAAATTTTTAAAGCATGAATCAATAAATATTTTAAAACCATACTATTTGCCCATTCTTTTTCTCTGCAATATAGCTCACAAAATGAATCCTCCAACTTGTTTTACTAGGTATTTTGCATTTCTTATCTGAGCCATTTTTTAAAAGTAATGAAATATAAAAAAAATAATGCAAGTTTACATGCATTTCTGCACTTTTACTGTTAAATTACCCACTCTATCATCAGTTTTTCCTCTTATCTCTAGTTTTATTCCAAATTATTTTGGAATATATTTTTGATATATAAACTATTGGAAAAGGTTTTATACTCTTTTTTTAACCTTGTATATTGACAGATGAAAATAATTAAAGAATCTGAGTTATAATCTTAATAAATATCAACTCTGTTTTATATATAATGCAATTTGTGCATAATAACTTGTCCAAGGCAAGTCTCCAAAATAATTCAGATTTAACTCTTTAATACTAGATCCAGTTGTGCTCAACTTTTTACATATTATTGCAGAACACTTTGTCTTTCTGTGCATAATGTTAATTTGGTTTTATGGATATTTTTTTATTTAAGCATATTTATGTTTTAAAAAATCAAATCAGTCATAAACATGTGATAGGGTGAGACATTTTCTTTTCTAAAAACAACCTCCTTTAAAGAGGATGAACAAATGAAGGTGTATAAAAGAGCACTGTTTCCCAACTGGCAGTTTATGCTTTAAATGAAAAAATAAGGTGATTTTTCACAATCGGGGCAAATGTTTTCTTGTAATTACTTTCCTACAATTTGTGTTAAACTATTTGTCACTATCATTAGATTGATTGTAAACTCCTTGAGAGTTGGCAGCATTTTAAAATTTGTCTTTGTATTCCTTTAATATTTTGCACAGGATTGTACATATGGTAGGTACTTAATAAAGGCTTGGATGAGTAAGTAGAAGAATATGTTTTTTAAATTATATTTGTAATTACTTCAAAATGAGTACACATGTGATTAAAAACATTTCCCTTCCAGCTTACTGAGAACCTGTGAAACACAATCCACAAATTGTAACATTTTAAATGTGACTTGCTTTCAAGGATTTGCTCCTCATTCTGCCCTTTCTCAGTTTTAAGGGGAAAGGGACTTGGTTTCAGAACTAATCTTCAGTTTTCTTTTCTTTAAAAATGGGAAGAGTGCCTGTCTTGGGTGGCTGTAGAAAGGATTAGATCAGTGGTTCTCAACCTGTGGGTCGCGACCCCTTTGGGGGTCGAATGACCTTTTCACAAGGGTGGCCTAAGACCATCAAAAACCACATATTTTCGATGGTCTTAGGAACCGAGACACCGCTCCTCTATCTGTCTCTAGGCAGGTCTGCCCACATGCAGATATGCCCACATACGAGTACCCGGCGTGATGACATCATCGTGCCAACCCCATCACATACACCGTGTACAAATACAGGTGTATGTGACAGGGTTGGCGCCATAATGTACTTATGCGGACCAGTCACACATGTGTAGAGAGCAGCTACTGTGTAGAAAGCAGCTGCTGTGTTGAAAGCAGCAGTATTGGAGGTAAAATGACACTTCATGAATTATAAATATTTCACAATATATAATTCATATTGTTTTTGTGATTAATCACTATGCTTTAGTTATGTTCAATTTGTAACAATGAAAATACATCCTGCATATCAGATATTTACATTACGATTCATAACAGTAGCAAAATTACAGTTATAGAGTAGCAACGAAAATAATTTTATGGTTGGGGGTCATCACAACATGAGGAACTGTATTAAGGGGTCACGGCATTAGGAAGGTTGAGGCCCACTGGATTAGATGAAATAATGTATGGAAAAGCTCTTTGCAAACTAGGCTATTCAAATGATAGTATCAGAGGACAGAATATTCCTGCAGAAACTTTTAACTTTAACTAAACACTTTCATTAAAATACAAAGTGATTTAAATATTATTTTGTTAGAAATAATGTGTGAACCACTTTTTTAAAGACAGTGATCTGGTAAACACAGAGCCAAACTTAGAAGACGCTGGCAATTTCAAATCACTCTATGCAAAATCACAATTTTCTTTTTTAGAAAGCCATAAAATTGAAAGTTGAAAGATTTCTTTAATATGTGACATTACACAATAAGAGGAGATTAAAAGATTGAAAAAAAAATCTGGTATATAACTGTTGAAAGTCAAGGAATAATATGCATGCTTATATCTAACTCTGAAAAGATGATAATACAAAAAATGGTAATAGAATTTACCTCTAGAACAGGGCCTGGGAGTAGGCAGCAAAAGACTTAGATTTTTGTTTTGTTTTTTCCCTTTCAACATATATATTAAAGAAACGTATAAATAAGGCTTTAGGCTTGTTGGGAGGTATTTTCTAGTTATAGATTCATAGTATCCTTGTAGCAAGAAAAGGGAAAAATACTTATATCTTTTCTTGATACTAAAAAAAAATACTTGGGGCAGCCGGTTAACTCAGTTGGTTAGAGTGCAGTGCTCATAACACCAAGGTTGCCGGTTTGATCCCCACATGGGCCACTGAAGCTCCCCCCTCCGAACTAGATTGAAACAACAACTTGACTTGAAGCTGATGGATCCTGGAAAAACACACTGTTCCCCAGTAAAAAAAAAAAAAAAAAAACACATTTTATATACAGTTTATTTGAATCAGGAGCCAAACATTACACTTGGTTAATAAGTTTAAGTCTTTTTCTTAACACCTCTCTTTTTTTCTCGCAATATTGTTGTTGAAGGGACCTGGTCTTTTGTCCAACAGAGTATCCCATTCCTAATTTTGTCATTTAATATGTTCCTCTGTTCTCATGTTTTCTATAAATTAGTACTTAGATCTAGGCTCGATCAGATTCATATCTGATATTTTTTATAAGAATACTTCATAGGTCACGGTATGCATTTCCATCAGGGAAGTACATGATGTCTAATGATCTTTCTTTTTGTGATGTTATCCACAGTGGTGATCATTGCTACAATTCCTCATGCCAATGTTTCATCACTCATTTTAGAACTTGCCAAAGACCACAAAGTCTTAGTTGTTATGAAAAGGAAAAAAGTGGGGGATGGAGAATTGAATGGGGAGTTAGACACTTGCCAAAATTCCTCAGTTAAGCCTAATTTAGTTCTTTCTTTTTCTTTCTTTCAATGATATGGTAGAATTTTCAGGACAGTGTAAGATCTAGAGACCAAAGGATTATTCAGTTGCTCTGCCTTCTCTACACTAAACATATTACATAATGTTCAGATATTACTACCTGGTTTCCACCCTCTGTAATAAGATCTTTTTATCTTCAAACGTCTGAGTAGATGTAGCTCCTTACCCATATACATATACACCTTTCAGAGGGTGGGCACGGCAAACACTTGGCTTCAGAGAGGAGAGTCTTCTGACCCTTTGTGTCTGCTGTCTTGGGGCAGAACAATTGGTCACCAGGACATGAGTCATAACTCATCCCCTCACTGGGCTGATTCAATGGACAGGTTCCTTTCTGCTCTCCAGGTACATCATGAAGCAGCATGCTGGCATGGATTTTAGACAGTGTGTTTCCACATAACTTTATAATTCTATAAAATCTCTCTGAGAAAGGGCCTCCTAGATCCTGGTGTGACTTACTAGAGAAAATAATTTATAGCCATAATGTGCTAATCACATTTGTATTCCTAGAGGGAGGAGAAATCTTGATTGTATGGAAGCCATAGGGACTTCAGGCCTATGTAGGAAAACTGACCCTGGATGGCTCCTCTTGTTTCAGGGTCATCTGATGAGGCACAGCTCCTTCCTTGTGGACCCCTGGGCATCAAGGAATAGCTGTACACTCACAGATGGTGACTTGGACAAATAGGGAGCTGATACTCCTCAAAGTGGCCAAGGGACAAGCTTGCAAATTTAGAAGAGGTAAGAACCTGCTGGATGACATAAGAGCTTGAGATGGCCAAGATTTCTCTTAAGCTTCTTGATGCTAAGTGGGACATGGAGAAAGGGAAAAGAAGCAGAGATATAGACCATAATTGCGATAACAATTGTCCAAGTATAATTGTATTACAGTATTATGACTATTACATTTCAACTCATGTTACAGCAAGCATTTCAATCGCACAAAAAAGTATTCCTTAAAATAGAGGATGGTTTTAACTACCCAATTGGAACTGATATCACAACTGACTAGGAGGAGCCAAGTCTTTACAAAGATGAGTAAGAGAGATGATAAGTGAGGAGAAAAAAGAAAGGAAGAAAAGAAGACCAGAAAATGGAAGTAAAATACCACTTTTGATCAAGGTATTCTATAGTTCAGAGGTGTGCGGAAGCAGTCAAAAGATCTAACACAACTGAGAGAAGGGGCAAAAGAGTTCAGAGTGCAAACTGTCAAGAACCTAGAGCTCAGAGAAAATTGTTTAGACTTCAACCCAACAGTTTCAATTCAGTAGTCCATATGGCAACACATTTCTACAGCAATAATTTTCTCCTTGGCAGGTGACACTCCAGCTGTCCTGAGCTACTGCATGGCCTGCACAAACTTTGCACCCCCAGTCTCTGTGTCTGGAGCTCCCCTTTCTCTCTCTGCCTGAGTCCAGAGGTCTGTGCATCTTCCCTCCTGTCACTCTCTCTGGGCGTCTTTCTGGCACCTTTGACCATATTTTAATAGGCAGCAGCCCTGACTGTCAAGCATCATACACACCCACCAGCTCGGTACTTCTCATTGTCCTGTTGTAATTGATTAGGATGTTGTATTTTTTACTATAGTTTTTTTTTTTTTTTTT